GATCGCTATGTCGCTAGTGGCGATCAGCAGAAGGATGCAAGTACTACTACTACAGCCCTATAGGGGCCTATCATCGCAAACTAGGGGTGGGTTTCTTTAAGCTCCCACGGTATTTAGGTGCTTAGGTCACTAAGAGAAGGAAAAAGCCAACGGAATTTCTCGCATCTATTACAGGATACCATCCTATTCGATCATTAGTACCGACACAATGGCGCCGGTGGTGCAAATGAGCTCACCAAGATCATTGATTTTCAAGTCAGTTTAGTTTCCTTTCCTCGAGACCCTCTCGCCGCTCGCGTGGGAAATAGCAAGGGAAAAAAGGGAGATCGACATGGGACCATCGTTTCGAGAACGATCAAAATCCCACACTTGCCTCGGAACCGTTCCCACACAACCACAAACCACAGCACTCCCCACGATCCGCATTACATATACATAGATACGTAGTAGATGGATGCATATTGCTACAAGGTGTGCGTAATTCCTCTTGCCTACTTATGTATGTATGTATGTAGATACTGCTGGTAGCCTACCCACTCTACCACTCTGCATGTTTTTCATTTATTACCAATCCATCCTCATCGTATTGGCCTGAAACCAAGGAGTACATAAGCTTAATGCCCAAGCCGCCGACTGCAACAGTGAAGCTTGGTCAAGTCCCGCCTTTCCGCTCCTAGGCACGGACGGGATACTAACCCTACAGCGGTACGAACCGGTCGGGATATGCCAAGCTAGGGGCATTTCACTGGTTCGGATAGATATGTAAACAACAGACGTCGCAAATGTTCACCACTTTTAATCGACCGCAACTCTTCCTCCTAGGCATATTGCTAGGAATAAAACACTTCACTTTCATGCGAAATCGCTAGCATCGAGGTTGCTAGAAACAAATATTGGTTGTGGGTATAGTATTACTCTGTACGCTTTATCACTTCGATCTCTGTGGCCTAGTGTTACTTACCAGGTACCCAGGTAGTTACGAATTCCGTCATTATGTATCCCATTATGCCCATAGTATTTGTTTTCCTCGATGGATTGGGTTATTAAATTGCTACTACATATGTACATATCTCCACGGATAGTCGCCTATGGAGGCTAATCCAGCCCCTTGGGTCTCCCGTCTTAATCGGTGAGTATAGTATGGATTGTACTACCTATTAAACGTCATTAGGGTCCGGAAGAAGCTCCAGCATATGCTATTGGCAATCAACGGTATGCGATCTAGAATTTTAGGAGATTGATAAACCGTGAACCTTGACGATCCGAACCGATATCGACGAATATTTGGCTAAACTTAGAAACCATACCTGCGGGACTATACGTACATACGGCCTTAGCGACTTCACATGAGGTCGATTATACGTGTTTTTTCATCAACATTAGAACGTGGGAAATATATTTACAGTCGCCACCGTCGAGTTCTACATGGATATCGTCATGCCGGTAGTGATAGGCAATGCATACGGCAAGAGGTACATACATTAGTTACTGTACCTACCTATGTATGTATTCCGGTATCCTACAACTACGAGTCTTCAATGGACAAGATGAAAGTCGATGCAAGGAACAGCATCACATGTCGTGTTTTCCCATCAGTCGCACGATAACGATCATCGCCGACGATCACGGCTTTTTATGGACGTAGTTAGCTTGCTTAGCCACAGGTCCATTAGGGAACCAGGTACATCCCAGCTGACAGAAGCAGCCTCAAGCTTCTAGTGAACCCGCCAGTCTCCGCTCGGAGCGAACTACACCCGCCGATCCGCCGCTGACGCCGTTGGACGAATTCGGGGAAAGCTTTCGGGAAGGTTCGCCACCCTTCTCGCAATTATTGGCAATTGTCAATCAATGATGATTTACGGTGCATGAGCCACGCAACACCGCCACAATTGTGGCTGGAGCTACCCCCTGACCTATCATCACATGATCTCTATTTCTTGGCTTAATCCAACTTCATATATCTCCTTTCTTTGGCCGTCCACCATTCTTTTCGCCACCCCTACAAATTGCGATGACCGCTCGTCGCGAAGGTATGGGACTCGCTTGGAAATTCCTAGAACGTCCCATGTAATATGGACTTGTCACGAGCTAGCTAACACGGATACGAAGGTCCAGTTAGCAGCCACCTCCTTCAGGTGTACACTGGTCGTACTGGCTGACCCTGGACGATATCTCGTCGGTGACGAGGGCCCGGACTCAGGCCATTCACGGCATGGCCGTTGATCTTTTGCCTCGACAACGAGACCGGGCCTCGTAATCACGCTACCTTGTTTCAGATGACCGCGTCTCTAGGTCGTGGGACAGCCCTATTCTGGCCCAATGCCTAACGCGCCCCGCGCGCCTTTGACATGTGTCTGATGCTGGGATGTAGGAGCGATGCAGGAGGGATAGCACGGGGCTGGGGTTTGCTCACCGCTGCCGTACACGTGTTATATTCGCCTCTATCTTCGAACGGCATTTCGGTGCCGCTGCCGGGGGGGTTTTCGCGTTGGACCGCTGCGCTGTTACCTAGGTGTGCCGGATGGGTAACGTTCGTCTGATGCCTTGATGAAACGCTGTTCTTATTTGCAGACTATAGGATAGGACTAGGGACGAGGGCATACACATCGTGTAAGAGATCAGATGTTGCTCGCTTACCTTGGTAATAGTCACGGTGAGTCATACTGCTACGTGGGTCTGTGGTTAAGGATAGAACATATCTATGACGAGTCGATATCTTGTATCAGGCGATTGTGTTTTGGGCTTTCATAATATCGATTAAACTAACTCCGAATACCCTAGCAGGCGAGGTCGAAGTAGAAACAGTGTCATGTTCGACTGACTATCGCGTAGCTCTTTCGATAGTCGGTACGAAACGACGCGCGGAAATGAAATATCATCAAAGTCATAGCACGATCCCACCAGCAAAACTAGGTAGCGTCGCCACATCCCATGCCCTAACCGTCAAAATCTCCCAATTCCATTTTGATCCCGCATTCCAGGCACACTGGGAACAGTCATAGTAAACCGCTAGGACCCAAATCCCATTTCTTCGCAACCCTCTGCTTCCCCCAATACACCATGGGTTTGGGGGGACGAGGGGCTTTGCGGGAGTAGATGGGGCCTTTGCCGCGGCTCTTCTCGCGGAGAAGTTTCATGCTTGCCTCACTGTAATCGCGAACGATGTCCTCGCGTTTTCTGTCTCCAATGACGGACGGCGGGAGTTCCGCGACTATGGCAGTCCAGGAGTCATTAAACTAAAGGGAGTCGTTAGTCTCTTCTTCTCTGCTCACCCCACCCCCACATTACATTCATAGCATTTCACCAGCGCGTCAAAGTTCCGTATCACTTACGATTCTGTGTTCGTTATACTTGAGCGGATCGTGGCCGTATGTCATCATGCCCCTGCCGCGCTTCTCGTAGAACTCGAGGTACAGCCGCAGCTTGGCCATCTGGCGCGTCTTCCACTCCCACGGGACGTCGGCCATGCGGTCCTCGTAAACCGCGGCCTCCGAGGGTTGCAGATCTAGCGGGTAGAACAGGTGCGGCGGCGGCTCGAGGTCGGTGCCGGCCGCGAAGGCGAAGGTCGCGTTTATGGCGGCTTCGGCGAGGCGCGAGCCTTCCGGGAAGACCCGAAGCTTCTCCGGGAGCGGCGGAAGCTCGACGTGAGGCTCAGGGATAATCGGGATATCCATGACGAGAGCGCGTTAGTGGTTTGGTGAGTTGAAGGGAGAAAGTGTTTTGAGGTTGGAGGGATGGATTGTTTTGGTGTTGGAAGATGAATTGTTAAGTGGAGGGGATGTAAAGGCTACACAACTGGGCAATGGCAATAGGTACCTATTTACTTAGCGTTACGCCCATAGAGACGAGAAAGACAAAAGGAAGCCCTAATGCACGATAAGCTAACTCCTAGCAGTTGGCCGAGCCATATATGGTGACACTAGCAACAGCAGTTTCTCCGCAATACCTAGAGTAAGAAGTCGTTGAGACGATGTTATTTATATCTGGTATTGACCATTTACCTGGGAACGACAATGACTCTACAATAGCAAGCAACTGATGTGGTTCGGAAGTAGATACTTGGTTAAGTGCCAGGATATAGCCCGCTCTTGGCAGAAGTGTGCGGAAGACTACCTACACTTGGAAGCAATTGATCAGGGGCAGAGCCCCGTATCCACTGGTCACGTGATACAGCACCTGTATATAGCCAGCCATCGTGGCCTTTTCCCACGATCTTGTCACTTAGCTTCATACATCATACATATCACATAGCCAGCCATAGCTCCTTTAGATGGCCAGTCACTCGTTCCATATGCCAGTTCTTCACTGATCAGAGATCCTTCGTCATGCTTGTCTCAGTATCCTCAGCCTAGCCGTCGCTGTAGCTGTCGCTGTATCCAGGTCCCCGGTTGCTGGAGCCCTGCTCCAGAACACAATGTTAAGAGAAGCAGTATAGTGATGAGATTTATGGAGTCATGTGTTCAAGTATGATATTACCTGGAAACAAGAGATATTAGAGAGAACACCAGAATACTAGGTATCTAGTGTTAATAACAGCACTCACGTTCAAAACAGTTATCTCTTCTTTATTTTCTGTTAGTAAAATACTTAAGTATAACTACCTTGATATTACAAGGCCAAGTTAATGCTAACTAATAAATAATAAAAACTGTACAAAGAGCGAGGAGGCAGAAAACAGAATGATAATGCATGTGCTAAGAGTTTGAATAAGGGTGCAGTCCGTGGTAATCCGGGAACAGTATATGGACAGATATGAGATTGACGGGTTATCATGATTACTTAGTATAAGTTGATTTTGCTTAAGTGGCTCAAGGACGTGGTTAATGTAATTATCAATATGATCGACGGAAATACACATAAGAATCAGCACGTCACTTGACCAAAAAAAAAACCTTGATTTGAATGCATATAAACAGAGATTATATACCAAAGTAGTGTATTTCAGTACCCAGTGTTCCATTGAGCAAAAGGTTATGGTCATGTAAAATCATATAAAAGGACTCCGAATCGGGGAATCGAACCCCGGGCTTGGCGGATCAGTCGAGTGTTTGTTTCGATATTCAGAAAAATACCAAATTATACATACAATGAGAGCACCAAATGTTAGCCACTACACCAATTCGGACTTGAGCATCTTTTCCAGTTAGGATGAAAGTTTTTCTAAGTAAATTTAGCTAATATGACCTTTTTTACTAGCGTTTAATCTATATTCGTTAGAGGCGATTGTTGAAAGGTCGATTACGTAACCCAAAATCTTGACAGGTCTTTGAGACTCTCATGGAGATTTACTTAGAACTAACACGTCCTCCTTGTTGAGCCTATTCAGGACTGGGGTTCTCTCGTCATGAATACAAGCGTTGGCTTTCTTCGTTCAGCAAATTCTTCTCCGGTGTCAAACCGCATCTCTTCAATCTCAGTACGGAAACCGCACTTCGCGTAAAGTGGACGTCCCGCTGGAGTTCCCTCGACGACCGCCTAAGGAATTTAACAATTAGTTAGCCCCTATTTATTGAAAAATGAAGGCAAGATACCTTTACTCCCTGCTCATCTGCAGCGCTAGTTCCCCACCGGACGAGAGCTGCGCCCGCTCCTAAACGCTGGTAACCAGGATGAACCGCTAATAATTCGAGAACTACATCCAAGCGTTTAGTTGACCAAAGACACATTTCTGGATCTCTTCTACTATTTCGAACCTACCATAAACTCCTTTACCACCGGCGTCGTTGATTACTTGAGTCCGTGGTATTACATAATCCTTCCAAAGGCTAGCCATGAACTTGCGATCGCCCTCGTCCGGCCAAATCTCCACATTTTCCGCCTCTTCAAGCTCCGCGGGCGGAGCCTCCTTCATGAATGTCCAGATGGCGAATCCGGCAATGTTCTCATGAGCAGGTTTATGAGCATCTTGAGTAGATGGGATAACTGCTTTTAGGAATGTGGAGTTCTCAGACGCGCGCATCCATGCAGCCAAACGCTCGGATCCTTGTACTTGTCCCGATGGTGTATCGTGGTTTGGAAAATATATATCAACGAATGGCGCATTATGAGCGAACGACTTGGAGAGAACCTCAAAGCATGTTGGGATATCCTCATCAGAAAGGATAGCGATGTTCACTTGATTCGATGACCCCATTATAACGACGGTTCGTTGGTGACGCCAAGAGGCATTTAATGCGGGAGACGTTCAAATGAGAGACGAGCGGTTCTGTAGGTCCTATTCCAGATCGTGCACCTCTAAGTTGAATACAAAAGCGGAGAAATTAGAGACATTCTGCAGCTAGCAGTTTCCTAGAAGCACCCCGGTGTCCCGGTAGCTGCTTACCTGTAGCTCTGTACTACAGGAGAATACCGATACATGTGTCTGTCCCCTTGATTACATAGCTGGGAGTCAGGCGAATGTCTAGATAGGAGTTAGGGGGATAGGTATCCTTGGGAGTTGCAAGTACCTTTCTGCCTCTTTTGAATCTTTCTGTCGCAACCAACTAACCATACTTCATTACAGTCAGAATTATTCTTACATCTTCAGGACCCTGAGATGCCTCGTTGGCCCCCCACGCTTAATGCATCTCCGATATTTTCCAAAGACAAGCTTGTCTCTACATCTTACGCTCGGCGCTCATTCGCCGCTGAGCTTGTTTCGCAATTAAGGAAATACGGTGTTGCGCGTCTGTCTCATCATGGCGTCGCCCCTATAACGATCAAGGAATTATTTAAATATGTATGTAGTAATATCTTCTTCTGGCAACTTCAACGTGCCGTTCATTAGTTCTTAGCATCGACATTTCTTCAATCTTCCGTCGGCCCACAAGCTCAGCGTCCTCCATCCAGGGGGTGAGTCGCCAGCACGGGGATTCTCTCCCTGGGCTTACGAGAAGACGGCCGTATTACGGCCTGATCTTCATGATTACGCGAGCCCGTCGTCAACTACTGCTGGTACGCAGCTCTCAAAGGCGTTGCTGGATGCCAGAGAACAATTTGCGGTTGGCCCGCCAAGCGACACAGAGTTCCCGACGCCCCAGCTTTCCGAACGGATTCTCCCGGGATTCAATACGGCAATGAAACAAGCCTATAGTGAGATTGCCGATTCTTGCCGGCAGCTCGTCGATGTCATAGAAGAGGGGCTTGATGCACCTACCGGGTCTATCAGCGACGCTGCTGCAGGAGGTCAGGGGGCCGAGTTAAATCTGAACTTCTATCCAGAGGTGGAGGGAAACGTTCTTAAAAGTAACACAGATACTGTTGTTATGAGACGCATCTGGCCACACTCGGATCTAGGAGTCATAAGCGCCCTATTTCAAGACGGACTCGGTTCTACTGGCTTGGAGATACTGGTCAGAGAATCGTCAGGGGAGCAATTCGTCCCCGTACCTATCGAAGGAGAGGGCGACATGATTCTACTTGCCGCGAATACACTTGAGCGCTGGACAAATGGTCAGGTGCTCGCAGCTATACATCGGGTGGGTTTTCCACATGTTGACAGTTCACTATCAAATAGCTCGCTTGGGGGATCTAAAGGGGTCAAGGTTCCTGAACGAAGGTCAGCGGTTATGTTCTTTCGTGCGCCGCCGACCGCAGACTTGGGTCCTTTGCCGCACTTCGTGTCTGTCGATAATCCGGCTAGATATGAGCATATTGTTGCTCGAGATTATCTCAAGAGCCATAACAAGAGGCTGTACTCATTGGGTGTTGAGAATACTCATGAAGGTTGTTGAGTCTTAAGTCGCTTTTAAGATATAACCTAGCAGTTGTGCAATGTATGCCTACACTTGGCTTCTTACCTGATTCAAACGAGTATTTTCACTTGAACCGGGTTTGTTACAATTTATGAGGTTTGATTTCCCTTTCTTTGGTATTAATAGGAGAATAGGGGGTCCCAATACTCCCAACTTCGAGCCACGTCTTTACTACCCGGCGATAGGAAAGTCGACCGACCCGTGGCTCTATCATAAGACTCATATGAGCATGCCAGCCTCTTACCCCCACCACCAGGCAGATTCACGACAAAGTTTGGAGTCATGAACCCAGATGTCCAACCACGTATCATCGATTCCATTCGCAACATCTCATACAGTGGCGTACGCATATCCTCGATCCCAGGAACCATGTCGCACTGAAAGACATAATACTACAACATGGTCAGCGAATACCTAATTTATTGCCGTTAACGATTAAGACGAAACAGACTAAGCCTTACCGGCTGAATGCTCATCGACGACAGCTGAGTTATCAATGACTTCATAGTGTCGACGTTGTTGTTGACACCATTCAGGAGAACACTCTGATTTCTTACTGTGACGCCTTCTCCAAAGAATCTCTGTGCCGCTTTACGAGTGATCCAGGTAATCTCATTGGGATGATTGAAGTGCGTGTGAAGAGCAACGCTCTTCCCCATTTTCCGGCCTTGGTGTGTAAGATCTATTATTACATTGGCCCATTCGTCCTCTGGGTCAATGATCCTTCCTGGGCAAAAAGCGAATCCTTTACTGGCAAATCTCAGGCGTCTAACATGCGGTATATTGAGCATACGCATTCCTATCGTGCGTAATTGGTCCGGAGGTAGGGCGTAAGTATCGCCACCGGAGACTAACATATCCACGATGGTTGGTGTCCGCTCAATATAATCAAACATGACTTCCCACTTCTTGTAAATAGGTAAGAAGCGCTTTTTACTGACTATTTCGGTATTAGCACCAACAGTGTACGACCTGGTACAGTTGCGACAATACACTGGACATATTGAGATTGCTGGTGTTGATGTTAACACCTAGACTTCGAGTGATAGACTATCATCATACCGATAAACACTGCCCTGTCTGGATACCTATGAATAATGCCCTTTACTGGGGAGTCTCCTGTTTCATCAAGGGGGTCTAATGTAAGTTTTGGGTGATCCGGTTTGGCACGAAAGCTCAGGGGTATGAATTGGCGGAAGATAGGGTCATGAAGAGGATCGGACCAGTTAATCAGGCTGAGTAGATGAGGCGTAAGCTTAACGGCCATGGGAGCCCGCTGGATCCCGGCCTGGACATCACTGATGAGCTCTTCCGCCGTTCTAGGCCCCAACTCAAGTTCCCGGCTTTGGGGAAACACATTGGGTAAAACTGCTTTCATGAAGGTGAATAGCTGACGACTATTGTTCACCGAATTTTTCGTCTAAGCCAGATAAGGAGTCAGGAGTCAGCACTTATTCGAGTTCAGAAAATGGATTGTCTTACCTGCCAGCTGTAGCTGATGAACTCGTCCTCGGTCACGTCACACCAGGCAGGTATCCGCTTCCAGTAGGCGTTCGAAGCCGGCGAGTCCTTATCCGACGCCAAGCTAAGATGGGCGTAAGATGCTGTTGGCGCTCGTGTACCGCCAAGATAACGAATGGGAAGATATGACAACACTCTTTTCGTTCTCCTTAGCAAGGATAGTGCCTGAGAAATGCTCATTGCAGCTTAGGTACCTGAATAAGGGGTTGCTGTTCAAGTAAGGACTAGCTTTGGGTGAAACGGTAAATGGCGAACACGCGCAAATGCGAGATCAAGCACCAACATCAAACTTATTAACTCTATTTATGGTGCAAGATGCACTATCCTCTATATATACCTAACTTCTAGACGCTGGAGCATGTGGGATGCATCGAAGCAACAAGAGAATGCCGCGCGTATGCTGCTATAACCGCATGCTGAGTGTGTTGATGCGTTGTATTAAAAGCCGCCTTTGCCCGGCACAAAACAATTGCATCGGTAAATGTGATATCCAAGCATGATATCGTGTAACCAAAAGGTGACCGGTCATTGGCGGTGCGATGGCTTGCATAGAGCAAATATTACCGGTCAGAAAACATCCCCCCAAAACGCCACACCGCGACGCGATCGTCCTTTTATGTAGCATTAGGCGGATTCGCTTTCGCTAACTTCCTACTAGAGTTAGATCATGTCTCTCCACTGACTTGCTAAAGAGCGCCTCATCCAAATCTAGAACTATCGCCATGACAATGGCTTTTCCGTGTAAGCGTGCGATAAACGCGCAAGTCAAATAATATGTGTGTGCGGTGCGCGGAACAACTCTACTAACTATACTGAGTGTAATAGGGCTATTGAATTATTAGGGGCTTCAGGGGTTCTTAGCGTCATTTAC